CTGTTGGTCATCTGTATGTCTTCTTTGGATAAACATCTATTTATTCTTTGCCTATTTTTTCTTAATATTCTTTTAATGTAGCTATCCAATTTTCCAAGCACCACTTATTGGAATTTTCTTTTTTCCATTGTTTTCTCACCTCTTTCGTCATATTATTGACCATAAGTGTGTAGGTTTATTTCTGGGCTCTCTACTCTGTTTCATTTGTCAGGCGAGTTTTTGCTCCTCAGTTTTTGTCTCATCACAACAAAGATTTGGAGTGATGGAGATTAAAGCCCCCTTGGAATGTCATAGCTCTCGGGTCTTGGACAGACCATGTTATAGCTCTCAAGTCTTGAATGGACCGTGTTATAGCTCTTAGACAAATCAGTGTTACATCTCTATTATATTTAGATAATAGTAGGAAAATCCGTCCTCGAGGCGTGAGGTCATGTCGACCCAAAGACGCGAAGAGAAGAGCACCCCAGTGCACAGGAGGGAGGGAGAGAGAGAGAGAGAGCTAGCTTTGGCTCCTCTTTTTATATGTTTTTCTCTCCCTGGGCCTGTCCTATGTAAATTGGGCCATCCAGGAGTGCTGTTTGTTTCACCTGAGGTCCTCACTCCGGTCCTCGGACCTTCCTTTGCTTTATTTTCGTGGGCTTTTCTCTTCCAGCTCTTTTAGCCATCGCCATTTTGGGCTCTTTTTCCCTATTCTAACGACCTAACACATGGATGTATGTGTTTTCTTTTATGCCAATGTCATGCTCTTTTGATTAATGTAGCTTTGTAGTATAGTCTGAATAGGGAACATGGTACAGCCAGCTATTTTTTTTCCTCCTGTCAGCATTGGCAATTGAGTCTTTTGCAGTTCCAAAAAATTTTTTAGAATCATTTTCTCCTACTTTTGTGAAAGTGTCCTGGGTATTTTGATGGTGATTGCAGTAAATCTATAGATTGCTTTGGATAAGATGGCCATTTTTAACAACATTAATCCTTCTCATCAAGTAACACAGGATATCTTTCCATTCCTTTTTATTATTTTCATATTCCTTAATCAGTGGTTATAATTTTCAGAATATAGATCTTCCACCTTCTTGGTTAAGATTTTCACCTGGTATTTTTTTCTTTTTAGTGTGATATAAATGGAATTGTTCCCTGAATTTTTTTTTCTGATAGTTCATTATTAGTGTATACAAAAGCAACAGATATCTCTAAATTAATCACAGTATTCTGCATATTAACATGCCACAGGCTAACTGAGTGTCTTTTCTTCCCACAGCCATGGACACAGCAGAGTCTATGCCCAATGAACCCCTGTTTAGAGGCAAAAATAGACAAGATCTCCAAGAGATGCTCAGAGAATAGGACTGGCAGTTGAGTACAAGTTGTCAAAGCTGCAGGAACACCTGGGTGTGACTTCCGCCCTTGCCTTACAACACCTAGAAGAAAAAGACCTCCAGAAGCTGAAATGCCAGGTGCAACATTCCTGGGAGAAAAGGGCCCTGGAGAAACTGCTTAACCTATCACACTCAAATACTCTTTCAGAGTTACAGGAGTCTTGGGTGGAGTCATTAAAGAAACAGAAGAAGGAGGCAGAACAGGCTCTGCAGGAACAAAGAGAAATGCTGTCAAAAGGGAAGCAACAACAGGAAGAGGCAGTGAGGAAAAAGGAAGCAGAACTGAGGCAAACAATGGAGATCCCCAAAGAGTTCAAGCCATCTCCAGAAGAGCCCCTAGGAGAAGTCATGGAAGATATGCAGGGACAACTCAACCTCATGCAAGGGGCACTTTCTCACAGGAAAAATCTCTCAGATAGAGAATTGGTGAGACATGCATCTGGAGGACTAGCCCTACAGGGAATTTACAAAACCAGTGATGAAAGGTGTCTTATACAGAATAAAGAAGAGCTACTCTGTGTCCCCAAGGAGTTTGTACTCCGTGGCCCTAGTCAGAGTACACGGGTGGAAGTGAAGGAATTTACATCTTCTCAAGAAGACTCCATGTTCACTCAGACTGTAGAGAAGCTGGGCTTCAGTATAACTGCCTTAGCAAAGGGTGGAGGTTGGGGGATTAGCCTGGAAGCCGGTAAGGATCAGAGCATGCATTCAGAATCCAAGAAAATACAACAGTCACATTCTAAACACTCATATTTCTGCTCAACCAAGTTCATCTATATCCCACTGGCCTCCTGCATCTTTCCCATTGACCAACTCCAACTATCCAATGCTGCTCTGCAGGGTTTAAAATACATTGAAGACCTTTTGAGTCAGTCAGAAGACCCAGACAAAATATTCTTGCTGAGGCATAGGACTGAAGCCTTCTTCCAGAGGTTTGGCTCTCATGCTAACCAGGGCCCTCTGCACCTGGGAGGAATCTACTGGTGGAAAGCCATTTCAGAGGGTTTCCAAAAAGAGCAGCTGCCAGAAGTGAAACAGCAAGCAGCAGAGGCCCTGGATATTTACATAAGGGGCAGTTGCAGGGGTTTTGGAGTGAACACTGGTACAGATCTGGATGTGTCAGACTCTCATTCGAAAAAAGTTTCTCAGAGAGCAACCTTCCAAAATCTCCAAACCAAAGTCCAATTATCTGTGGCCCAGACAGGTGGCCCACCAGAAGCAAATGACTTTTTGGACTGGAAAGCTGGTCTAGTTGCCAATAATCAAACCTGGTGTGTCATTGACCGTGGAACTCAGCTGGTACCTGTTTGGGACATTGTCCTCTCTAGCCACAGGAGTGATTTTAAGGATCCTCTTAAAGTAGCTAACTGCCTGAAAGACAACTATACTGTTCTGACTGAACTGACTGTCCAGATCCAGGAGGGAGAAGAATTACTGAGTATTGAGAGGGAGGCTAGGATTTTCCTAGAGGATGTGAAATCCTGGAAAGTTTTTGATCCTGAAGAACAGCTTAGAAGGCTGATAAATTTCATGGAAAGATGGAGTCAAAAAACTGAAAGCTATACCATTTGGACTAATATATGCCTCAAAGACTGGGGTCTGCAGAATTTTCTGGTAAACACTGTTAACTTTTGCAAAAAATCTTCCAATTATGGAACTAAATTTATTAAATCTCAGTTGAGAAGTCTTTTGGATCCTCACATCTATAAAGTAACAAACTTTCCTCAGGCTCATTCCATTATGCAATGGATATTTCAGTCAGAACCAAGGGAAGACAATGTCCATATCACCCAATTTTCTGAGTTAATTGAAATATTTAAAAAAACACAGAATGACCTTAGGGAAGTAAAGGCCAACTCCGAATCCACAGAGTTGGTGGAGGAAGCTCAAAGAAAGCTGACTTATGAGGTCAGCTTGTCTCTTCGCTCCTTCTTGAAATACCTCCGAGAAACGGGGAAGCCAGACACCCACATCTTGCTACTTTTGATAGCATCTGGTGCAGGATATCATGTGGTTGACAATATATTTCAGTATCTCCTGGGGCATGATGAGTTAGACTTCCTATTGGATAAAATGCAAACTGCACAAGATAAATACCAACAGCTCAAAGACATTTGCAACTACAGGGCTCAGGCATTCCTGGTGCTCACAGGTCTGACAGCAACAGTGGGCATCAAAGCTGTTACTCCAGAGGAGAAAACACAACGCTTGGCATTGATAAAACAGCACATGGGACATTCTTTGACTAAAGAAGTTGTTTATGTCCTCACCAAACCTGAAGATCATGATTTGGAAAACCTAGAAAAAGACTTGAGACTGCTCATTGATGGGAATTATGAGGCTACTGTCTCTTCACTGCAAGTGGAGGAGGTGAGAAAACAATTGCAAAGTGTTTTTCATGAAAAGAAAGACCTCCATGAACCACACAATAATGAAAATAAAAAGGAAGAATCCATAGAAAATGGAGCTTTCCGAGACTTGCTTGAGCGTCTAGGCCTAGAACATTACTACCCCAAAAAACTGAGCAGAGCTAACTTCCAACAGATCCACAGGACTTCTGTGTACAACACCCAGCCCTGCTCTGAAAGAGAACTTCCCTTCTATTTCCTACAGAAGCTATTGGTGCTGGATTATGGGTTGAGATACCTGATCATCAAACATGAAGAATACACAGAGAACCAAGTCTATTCAAGCACCTCAAATCAAGAAAAGGAGGCTTTTGATCCATATGAAGATCTACCTGAAGAAAGTGTTAGTCCTACTAAGCCTTCAGCAGCCACCAATGTCAGACCCTATGTTCACCCTATGGATATTCAGATGGCAATTCTTCACTGTGCAGATGATTTTGCCAGACAATACCTTTTGGACAAACTTTCCATTTGTCAGTTTGCCCTCCCCCTTCTCATACCTAATCCTTGCAATGCTCAAATTGAATTCTCTCTCTGGTCTCTCAGTCAAATTTGAAGGAGCTGGCAGCAAGAAGGGAAATCAATAAAAGGGGAGAAGGGCAATTATAAGAATCAACGGATGTGTCATGTTTCTGTCCCCATTGTGTCCTTTATTAGAGTTGGAAATGGTTTCTCTGCCTCCAAATCTCAGATCATGAACTGCCTTCTCAGTGAACGCAAACATGATGTCTTTTTTCACCGACATTGCAAAGGCAGCAGCAGAGACTGTCTCTTGATGGGAGGAGTGGTGGAAGTCGCCTGGTTCTGTCCTGGGGGTGAAGAGCAGGACAGATTTGACAACTGCTTGACCTTTACCAATCTTCATGGAGATGCAAAGGAACATGAGAAGCAACTCGCCTTTTTGCACGAAGTCTCTTCCATAATTGTGGTCCTCATGTCAACTTCTGATGACAATAAAGGAAACCAAAAAATAGTCCGTGACATGTGTCAGTCAACAAAACCTTTAATCTTGTTGCTTGATGATAAAGGAAAAGTCACACTCGATAAATCTGGCCCAAGAGTGAGAATTGGGATCAAGAACAGAAATGAGGCAGAATTAATAGGGGAGCTCACAACTGCAATCGGACATTTGCTGAAGCTCTCTAACAGTGCACTCAGCTTGGAGAACTGTGCCCAAGTTGCTCGCAAGCAAGGAATGCTTATTGATGAAGACCAGAGAGATTGTAAGGAAGCCAAAGAAAAGGCAGAGGCTCTAATGACTGTATTGAGAGAAACGGAAATACATCAGGTCAAGAAAAACTTACTACCTCTTCAGGGAAAACTGTGGCAACGTTGGTGTGAAAAGGACAGAGAACTCTATCATCTTAGAGAAAAGGGGAATCGCAGCATTGAACAACATAAAAGTGAGACTGAGACAGAGAAACAAATGATAAGACAGGAACAGTTGAAAAAAGCTTTTCCTCTCAATGCTTTAATGCGTTCTGTCCTTGAAATCCTCCAAAATCATTCAGAAACTCACACCAAACTCTACTTCCTCCAATGGCTGAAAGTAGCTTTGGACAACCTGACTGCAGGACACTTGGAAAATCTAAATGAGAAGAAAAAGGCATTGGTTCAAAAAGAAAAGCAAGAGGCCACAAAGAGTAGCTCTGTGAAAGACTGGCAAAAGAGGATAGAAGCTGTTTCCAGAGAGATTAATGACTGTACCTTGGGAATTGAGCACATTCTCAGAGAAACTGGCCAGATCTATGAAGCTCTGGAAGAAGATTCATCCATGGAAAATACTCTATTTCTCTCCCTTCCCCACATTGCTGCAGATCTGATGATATCTGGTGTTCCCATTGAGCTGATGGATGGGGATGTTTCATATGTGCCCCTGAGGTGGGTGGCAGCTGTTTTTGACAAGCTCTCTGAGAAACTTGGAGACAAGAGGCTCTTTGTTCTCTCTGTCCTTGGCCTGCAGAGTTCAGGGAAGTCCACTCTGCTGAATGCCCTTTTTGGGCTGCAGTTCACTGTCAGTGCTGGGAGGTGTACCCGGGGGGCCTACATGCAGCTTCTGAAAGTGGAGGAGACATTCACAGCTGAACTTGGCTTTGACTTTGTGCTTGTTGTGGACACAGAAGGACTTCGAGCCCCAGAACTCAGCAACAAGTCCCAGAATCATGACAATGAGTTGGCAACCTTTGTCATCGGACTTGGAAACTTGACTCTGATCAATATTATGGGTGAGAATCCATCAGAAATGCAAGATATTCTACAAATAGTTGTCCAAGCTTTTCTGAGGATGAAACAAGTAAAAATCTCTCCCAGTTGCCTCTTTGTCCATCAGAATGTGGGGGAAGTTACAGCTAAAGAAGAAACTATGGATGGAAGAAGCAGGCTTGAGGAGAGATTGGACAAAATGGCCGCATTAGCAGCTGAAGAAGAGCAGTGCTCCGACGTAACCTGCTTTAGAGATGTCATAAAGTTTGACGTCAATACCCATGTGTACTACTTTGCTCACCTCTGGGATGGCAATCCCCCAATGGCCCCTCCCAATCCTCGCTACAGCCACAATGTCCAGGAACTAAAAAGCAGAATTCTTGTGGCTGCCCAACAGGAATCTAGGGGAAGCATCATGAAGATATCAGATGTAAGATTACGAGTTCAAGATTTGTGGAGAGCCCTGTTGACTGAGAATTTTATTTTCAGTTTCAGGAATACTGAAGAGGCCATGGCCATGAGCAAACTGGAAACCAAGTATAATTACTGGACATGGGAGCTGAGGAGTCTCGTTCGGAGCTTACAGGACGAGCTGATCATCCAGATTCAGAATGGAAAAATTCAGACACTGGTAACACACACACTGGAGGATCCAGTTAGAGAGAAATATGAAGGCATCAAACAAGAACTTGAAAAATGTTTTAATGACGATCCAGATATTCAAAAATTGATACAGTGGAAAGGGAATTTTGAAAATAAGCTAAATTACCTTAAAGAGGCACTAATTACAGAGAGTGCAAGAAAAGCTGAAGAACTCATTAACTTTAAAAAAAATCAAGAAAAAGTGGATAAGAAAAAGTCAGATTATGAAAAGGAATTATTGGAAAAGAGCCAGAATTTGGCTTTATCACTCAATGGCACCGAATTGAGTGAGGAAGAGCTCCATGAGAAATTCAACCTACTTTGGGAAAAATGGGTCTATGATGTCTCCTCAAGTCTCCCTCCAGTCACAGACCCTGAAATTGAAGTGGATTCTGAAAACATCCTTTTGGACTATTTCAAAAAGGAAAAAGACATGGTAAACATACTGAAGAACTATTCTGGAGAAAAGTTTGAAATTGACTATGACAAACATGTTAAGATGAAGAGGAATTATTGGGGACTCTCTACAATGAAAATAGAGCCCCAGGATAAACACTCCATAAATATGACTACTGACTGCATTATTTCAAAAGTTAATGAAATTGTTAACAAAATATCTCAGCAAAAGCATGATTACAATCCAACTTATTTCCATGAAATCCTGATAATAATAGATGAGGAGGTGAAGTCTGCGCCCACTCAGAAAAGATACACATTTACAAGAAGATATGAAATAGACTTGTCATTGTGTCTTTTCCGAAGAGCATCAGTGAAGTTTAAGGAGATGCACAAGGCATTCAAGAGGGCAAATGATCCTGTAAACTATCTGCAAAGCAAGAAAGATGATTTCTTCATGAGCTTTAAGATCTCTTGTCAAGGAGCAACTTCAATTAAAACATTTGTTGATTTTCTGTGGAACAAACTCACACCTGCTGTCTCCAGCACCATAAGGAAAAACATGGCCCTCAAAATTGCTGGGGACATTCGAACCACCTGCCGTGCATTCAATGAAAACAGAGCTAACCTGGAGAAACACATTCTCATCTCTCTGGCAGAAGAGGAAAATTTTGACAACTACTGGCAGTACCTTCATCATCCAGAATCATTTTTTAAGAATTACATTGAAAAGCATGTTAAAACATATTTTTCTGACAGAGGAAGTAAAAAAATAAAGACTTTTCTACAAATGAGTTTAGATGACATCAAGAATGCTATCCTCTCAGCTATACAAGAATCTACAGAAAAAGCCAAAGGTAAAAGCAGCACAGTGTCTGGGTGGCTAGATTTGTTCTGTGATGACCTGGGGAGTACCTTGATCTTTCCACGAAAAGACTTGATAAGCATTGAACACCAGGAGATAAAAGATATCAAGTTTCTCAAAGAGGCCATGAGTAAAGCTTTGGATCCTGAAATGAAGAAGGCAGAGCAGAAATGTTTGTTTAGACTTGTAGAAGAAGTGATTCCTGAAATCCAGACAATGCTCTCTGAACATCTCTGTGGCTGCTGGAAACAGTGTCCCTTCTGTAAAGCAATTTGTACGAACACAATCCCTACCCACGAGGGAGACCACAGTGTTCCCTTCCACCGTCCAGAGGCTCTCAGTGGATGCTCGTGGTATCAAACAGACAATTTTTCCATTGACTACTGTACTAGTTCAGTAGCAAGTGATTGCATTTTTATTTTGGATGATGGCAGGAGAATCCCATTTAAGACCTATCGAGAAGCAGGAGGGGAGTATGCCACGTGGAGCATCACCCCAGACACATCCACCCAGCCATACTGGAAATGGTTTGTCTGTCACTTCAGATCAAAGCTAGAAGAAAAATATTACAAAAAGTTTATCAATAAAGGTGAAATTCCTGATGCCTGGAAGAAAATCACAAAGCAGGATGTGCTTGATGACTTGAAAACAAAGTAATACTCAGTGACCAGATAAGAGTTCCAGTATCTAAACAAAGAAGGCACATTACCAGAACAAGCCTAAAATACCACCCATTCAGAATGAAAACCTTTCTTGTATCAATTTTTCTCAAATGAAACATCTAAAACTAAATCAATCATAGCAAGAGTTGAAGATTTCTTGAGTAAGAACCTTATTTTTCTTTGCCTCAATTCCTTCTTCTTTAAAAACAGATAACTGATATACACGAGTACATGATAAAATCCAATAAAGTCCATTTAATATACCGACAGCATATTTTATATTATTATTCTGAATGTTTTTATTTTTAAATATGTAATGTTATTTTGTTTTTGCTTTTGCTTTTTTGTGTGTGTTTTCCCTTCTCTATATTGCATCATCCTCTTTTATGGGGGGTGGTGGTGGTTTAGTCATTAAGTCGTGTCCAACTCTTGCTACCCCATGGATTATAGCCCACCAGGTTCCTCTGTCCTCTGTCCATGGGATTTCCCAGGCAAGAATACTGGAGTGGGTTGACATTTCCTTCTCCTAAATATGTAATGTTATATAAAGCTTCAAGAAAGTCATTTTCATAGAGGGAGATTAAAACCATTGCAGGCTGATACAAAATCTATAGAATAACTATACAAATATTTTTATCAATATACAGTTATTAACTGGAAGTTACAAATACTTTTCATTTCTAAGTGTATTTTTTTTCACTCTCTTAAACTGTGAGGAAGAGTTATTAATGCTTGAATGCAAAAACATTCATAGGAAATTCAAGATTTCCAATTCTCAAATATAAGGCCATTTAGAGCTATTCTATTATAGGAATAAAAAAAAATCAGAAACGTGGCCAGGATAGAGCCTGCATCAATTCAGAAAACAATATTAAACAAACATGAAAAATATAAGTTAAATAATTTTTTCTAATTTAACCACTTTTCTCTTCTTCCTGGGCACTTTGGCACTGGCCTGTGCATGTTTTTTTAAAAAGGTTAAGAAAAAATTCACGAGAGTTTAGGTGTTCATGGCCTAGAGCTCTGTACAGGTGTGAGAAGGACCTGTTTATAGAACAAGATTTATGACCAGGAAAAAGGGCCATTTTAATCAAGGCTGTGGACCAGGTCAGGGCTTCCCTCGTAGCTCAGTCGGTAAAGAGTCTGCCTGCAATACAGGAGACCTGGGTTCGAGTCCAGGGTCAGGAAGATTCCCTAGAGAAGAAAATAGCAACCCACTCCAGTATTCTTGCCTGGAAAATCCCATGGGCAAAGGAGCCTGACTAGCTACAGTCCATGGGGTCAAAAGAATCAGACACATCTTAGTGACTAAACCATAGTGACAATTCAATAAGAAATGTGTCTGTATATTAAAATGTAAGAAAATGCTTATCTCCAAATCAAGCACCTTTGTGACTTTTCACACTATTTGAGCCATAGAGTCATGATCAGAAATAAAAAAGGAGAACATGCTGAAGCCAATCAAGGACCTGAGAGGGGAGGAAATCTCCACTCTGCAAACCTCTACCTTCTGAAACAATGACTTATGCTAGGTTCTCAAAGCTGATGATCTGAAGGAATCCTGATGCAAAGAAAAAAGTTACTCATGTCTGACACAGGGCCATTCATTGGCTTCCATTTAAGGGTACACTCCCTACCCCTCCACAGCCTGTATGAAAATATACAGTACAAAGAAGAACAATCAAAGGACATGGATCTTCAGAGCTGGGAGACAGGAGTGCTCACTCTGCTATCTTTGTGCCCCAAGCATACTCTTCAGTTTCAGGTCAAATGACCATGTCTCCAGAAGAAATCATGAAACAGAAAAACTGTATAGAAAGCAGATGTTCTTGAATAGATGGATTTTCCTTTTGTTCTTTAAAAATAGCCTCACTGAGAGTTGGAGGAGCCTCAGAATAGGATAAAGTTGAAATAAGTGACAAAAACAGAACCCATGCACAATATAGCCCCTGTCTCTGACATCACTGCATCCTTGATAACTGTGCAATGTTAACATTTGTTGAATGCTTTTCATATTTGTTCAATGAGCCCATTAAAACTTTTAACTAAGAAGCATCATAGTTAACTTTGATTTTCAGGCAAAATTCTTGTGTATAAACAAATAGTTTTTTATCAATTCCTCAGGCATTTAAGGAGAGTGATTACTAAATGCAATTCAGAAACGGTGTCAAGAGTTCCCTACAAAATGGCTAGACATAAGCTGGGGATGAGGGTAGATGGAAACATATGAATGTGGTTTTCTATGATAGTAGTGGAGAGTAAAGTGCCATCATGGTGGGGTCAGGATCAAAGTGTCAATGGGTTGAGGTCAGTGAGGGAGATCTTCGGAACACTGGAGTAGGGTGATAGAGTTCATAGGGATGAGAATCATACAGTCATGAAAAGTGGGAGATGCTGGGCCCAGTGTAGGTCACAGGGATTAGAGATGGTCAGTGTTGTAAGGTCACTGGAGGTAAGGTTCACACAATCAGTAGAAAGTCTGTCAGAGTCACTGAAAATGTGGATCACGGGAACAAAGGAATTGGGGGTCACCACATCAATAGACATGGGGAATTTCCAGAGTGATTTAAGCTAGAGAGGACAAATCCAGCAGGAATGGGGCTAGGAGAGTGATGGATTCTAGGACAAGATAAATAACACAAATAAGATGTGAGTTGCTTCTCAGGTGGCACCAATGGTGAAGAAATCACTTGCCAATGCGGGAGACAAAGGAGATGGTGAAATTCAATCCGTGGCTTGGGAAGATCCCCTGGAGAAGGAAATGGCAACCCACTCCAGTATTCTTGCCTGGAAAATTCCAGACAGAGGAGCCTGATGGGCCACCATCCATGAGGCCACAAAGAGTTGGACATGACTGAGCACCAGCACATGCTTTTAAAAAAAGGGGGGAAATATTCACTAAGATGATTTTCATTTAGATCTCAAAGTGAATGAAGTGTATTATGGACTATGACGGACTAATTATTACTGTCATCCCTAAATCCATAGGGATTTAAGACAGATTTATAGGTCTTTTCATTTGGAGGAGATATCAAGATTGAAGGCAAAAGAAGAGGGCAGCAGAGGATGAGATGGTTAGATAGCATCACTGAGTTTGAGGAAACTCCAGGAAACGGCAATAATGGCAGTTAACATGGAGGCTGGGGCTACCTGCTAATGATCACTAGTGTCCTGTACTTCTGAACAAGATGCTGAATTCCTCCAAGGTCCATGGGATACAGATTGGATCATCTGCCCAACAGAGTTTCCTCACCCCTCCCACGCCACACCCCACGCACCCCTCCACGCCCCACTGCTCCCACCACCCACTTCAGCAGAGACAACTGGAAATATACTGCCAGAAGCAGGAATGAGGGAAAAGTCAAAGAGGTTACCCTGGGATGTCAGCAAACAGTACACTGTCAGGTCATTAAGTGTATGGGGGGCATTCTGAAGATTCCACAAAAGCACAACCACAAGAAGCAGCTATTGTATATTCAACAACTAAAAGAACAATCACAGATAGCACCAGCTACCCTTCAGCTCTCATCCCTCAAACCAAATAATGGAGTAGGAGGAGGAAAGGAAGTAAAGAAATGAGAAAAAGAAAACAGGCCATAACACACTTCAGTTCAGTTTACTCCCTCCTATTCTATGAAATTGTATATCAGGCCTGAACTTGATGGAGGTGGTGAAACGTGGTCAAAGAGCCAGCTTAGGATTTAATGAGAGATGGAAGTTTTGCTAGTAGATAGGACTAAACTTTTTAATGCCTAAGACTTTAGATATTCTAATACCAAAAGTGACTAGAAAAGTCACTTTCCCAAGAATATTATCAGGAATGGGGGTGGGGAGAACCAAAATAATATGGTGACAAGCAAGGGTAGAGATAAATAAAGGAATATTCCAATCATACACCACTGAGTCCAGCTCATTCAATGAACAGGTTACACACAGATGAAGAAAAATGAGGAAGAGGGACAAGAGGAGTAATAAACTGGCAACACAAATGAGTCTCTTCTGGAAAAGGAAGGGGCTGCTTCCAGGAGATGTTTTCAATTACTTCTCATTATTAACTAGTACAAGATTGTGATATAATAACAAAGATATATCCAGTCTTTGTCCCTGTTTCTGGAGCAGAGCTCCTAGAATTCTTGGAACTTCATGAGTTTCAGGGATGAGAGGAGACTCTTTTGAAACTCCTAGAAAGTTCCTGTCGAGAATACTTGAGTTTATGTTAATGTGGTGACTCTGTATGAGCCCCTAGATGATGGAGGTTGCTTGCCAAAGAAACCATGTGATTAGAGGGTTGGAACTTTCAGCTCCAAATAGCCACACCTCCAGGAGGGAAACGAGATAGAGACTGAGTTAATCCGGAGTTGCCAATGATTTAATCATACTTATGTCATGGAACCTCCCTAAAACCATAAAGGAAAGGGTTTGGGGAGCTTCTAGGTTGGCAAACATCCCCACATGCAGAAAGGTGGTGTACCCCAACCTCTACAGTCACAGAAGCCCTTGTATTCAGGACACCTCTGTACCTCATATTATTTGCCTCTTAATCAGGTTCTTCATTTATATATTTTCTAACATCCTTTAGAAGGATACATAACTATATATCCTATATATACTTAGCTGTAAATAAGAAAAGTCCCTGATTTCCATGTGTTGTCATAGCAAATTATCAAGCTAGAAGAGAGGGTCATGGAAATCCCAAATTTTAAGACAAGTCAGATAAATTGTGGGTAACTAGTGACCCAATATTTGCAATTGCTATCTGGAGTGGGAGAGCAGTCTTGTGGGGCTGAGCACTTAACCACTGAGGCCTGAACTAACTCCAGGTAGTTAGTGTCAGAACTGAATTAAATTGTAGGACACCCAGCTGGAATCTGCACAGAGTTAGAGAACTGTTTGGTAGGGAAAACCCACATTTTTAGTGTCAGAAATGTTCTATGGTTTGGAATGAATCTTAGTAATTATAACTAGACTTACCTTGAAGAAAGTAGGGGAAACCAC